AAAAAAAACAGTGACATTTGCACGTTTCTCGACAACTCCTCTTCATAAAATGATGCTTCAATAGTGACTGATTGAACGATGATCAAATAAGTGTAATCTTTTTCTGATAACAATAAAAAATAGCGATTTAGGAAGCATAAATTTTTATGCCTGTGTGTGATACTTAACATTTGAGCAAGCCTCTGCGAGTGTACAATAAGTTATAATCTTTTCAGCACGGAATACATCAAATGCTTTACAACAACAATGACTGCCCGATTCTCATTTTTTTTAAATATAATTTGACATGTCCTCCTGAAATCGTTTATGAATTTCAGTTGATGTCTATGATCTTCCAGATTTACCAAGCAAATAGAAAATATGTGCTTGATTATATTGTGCCGATTTAAAACGTTACATTATAATACAAAAGCGTTTGAGGATAAGCTGGTATCTAAAAGTGGTTTTCTATCAATTTCTGCTCCCAAGTCCAGACATCTCATCCAGTGGAGGTAAACAGGTATCACGTTCTTAACTCTGATATTCCTGAGTGGTTCTGCCCTAATAACGGTGCCGTAATTTGGAATGTGTTCATATTCAGTTAATTATTTGGACAAAATGTTACACGAACGATGCGAATAATTTGTTGCTATTGCACCCAAATAAATATTATTTGTGAATTCGGGATTGACGATTTGTTCTTAATAAATTATTTGTGAAGATTTCTTTTTAGTGAAGCTATCTACTTGTGTCTGCGGGCAAACTGTAATATAATATTACTTTTTCATATACACTGAGTATGAGTAATGCGCATAAGTTTGTAGCAGCAGCAACTCAGAAAAATTAAGTGACGTTTTGAGTGTGACACGTTCAAAGCGGCAGTAGACTAAGGATTTTCTGTCATGTGGACAATGACACACATTTATTGTGGCAAATTAGAAACCGAATTGTGTTTAAAAAGCTTTGTGACATAAAATATTTCCTGAGCGTATAATAAAGTGTTTGTTCTGTATACTGCATATCAATGAATTCAGGCTACTGTAATATCGATCTAACGCTTTATTTTACCCGATTTTGTTTAATCTGTCAAATTCGTTATCAGTAAGAACGCTTAAGAAAACATTCAATTCACATTATATAATGTATTTGTTTTCAAGACTAAGCGAGTTGACAAAGAATACCGTAAACTTTTGCTGAGAACGCAGATAAGACGCTTGTTTGTAGGGTATTATAATAATATTGTCTAGCTATAATGTGCTGTATGATATTTGGAAGTGTCCGCAGTGCTTCGATTAAACTTGTGAGGTCTGTTTATAATTAAATTCACTTCAATTGATAAGAGTAAATGCAATTAGACGTCGCTGGCTGTTACGATAAACCTGATATCCATTAAAGAGCGAGTGTGGTGTTGGATGCATCAAAGCACCAATTTCCCAATGAAATTAATCTGTGAGTGACCAAATCGACATTTGTTAAAATTAATATCAAAGCCAAATACTACGGCGATGCATCAACGTACTGTATTCTTACATTTGAAAATTTTTATTAATTCGACCCGTATCGACACACTGTCAGTGACTTGTTTTTACGTAAAATATCATTGACTATATGAATAAGTGCTATGATAAGTATAAAAACTGTATTTAATTAAATAAACAGTAAGTTACAAGCTAAAATAATGGTTGTTTACTTCCCCTAGCTCTGTTTCTGAACTCGGCAAGCTGAGATCTAGTAAGGGAGGCAACTGGTGGGTAAGAGCGTACTAGAATATTTACTCTCCTTCTCAAGACGTGATAAGGGTTTTACATCATTATGATAAACGGTATTCCACGTGCTGTCATACTTGTCAATCTTGTCAATAAGCCTGCTAATATTACCCCAAAGTGTGTCTGCATCCGGACGCTTATCAGGATCAGCATCACAACACCGCTCGGCAAGCTTCTTGTATCCTTCTGGTGTGGAATCAGGTATTGATGGTCGTAGTCCGCCCATAATGTTGCATACTAAATCTCTATCGAACTGCCTGTCTCTAAAAGGTGGTTCGCCAGTAGCAATCAAATACATAATGATACCAAAAGAATACACGTCTGATTTCTGAGTAAATTTGCATGTATGGAAGACTTCCGGTGCAATAAAGGGTAAAACGCCTCGAATGGTTGAGTTTGACTCGCGTGAATTCACTGATCGTGAGAGCATATCAATGGAAATGTACCGCTCAAAACTATGTTTCCGCCATGAAGATCACAATGCACTAATCCTGCACGATGAATATTATACAATATCCCTCAAATACTCTAATTTCATCTTCCACGTCAATTTATTAATATTTTGACAAAAGACTACCATTGTTAGCATATTGCATAACAATCATGTACTCTTTTGTTTCTGGTCTTGTGTGACTCCATAAATTTTAAGGAATGAATAATCACTAGCGCACTTGACATGATTTCTGAACTATTAAATAAAAACAAATACAGTGTCAGATTAAATATCACTTTAATTAATGTTAATACTACCAATTATTGCTTACCTCGGAAATAAATAATTCCGGCGTTTCATCAAAACTCTCAAACTGTTTGAGTACAACAGTTTGTGGCATATCCTCTTCGACCGAATATTTTATATATTCGGCAATATAAACTGTTCCATAACCTCCAGATCCAATTTTCTTGATTTCGTCAAAGTCGTTGTACTGCATATGTCTTATACGCGTGTAATTTTGTCCAATATTGCATGCACGTCATAGCAAAAAACTAAGTAATATTCCCGAATAGATGGCTTCTGAGTGATTCCAATTATCCAAATATTCTCGGGTGTTAGTATCGCCGGATATTCGTTGGTTAGCTATTTGAGTAAACAAATACAGTCGTTACAACAATAATCTGCTTGATACACACGTCAATAATACTATTTGCATTTTACACATGAAATAATTTACCTGATGAAAATCAAATGACTGATCATCTACGTCCCCTTCGCCAACTATCTTTTTGAGTGTCACACGTGTCAATTCATTTGTTGTCCATTCTGATATATGTGTGCACCCATGGCGTAATGATGGCATCTCTTGCATGTTTGTCAATAGTGAATATTCAATCCATTGTATATACGCATCATATACGTTCTCCACATTACTCCATGATCCATAATAAATGAACCCAATGACTTGTTGCTCATAGTCCAATCAAGACGTCGTGGTGATTTACATTCATAACAGAATGCGTTTATCCTGGGTCCTAACAGACTTATACACGCCAGACAAAATCCATACCCAAAACGTTCTTTTATGAGATAATACTTTTGCATCATATGTGAATCCGATGGCAACCCAAACATCCGTGGTAAGCATATCGATACATAAAGGTCAATAATATTTAAACTATTCAATAAACATAACGCATAAGTAAATAGTTTACCTCGGCATAATATAAATCATGTGCCTCGTCTGTTATCTCAAGTGAATCAATTAACATATCGATCAGTAGTAGGTAGACCATCCAAGTATACATATTTTTCTTCCTTAGCGTTAATACAATCGTATGGAATCCATTCCAAATAGGCGTGATTGGCTGAGTTTGTTTGTAATTGAGATTCTTAATAAACTCGTCGAGTTGCTTATTGTTGCTAGTCCATCCATCGGATAATTGTTTATGTCCACAATGCACCACACGGGACTACATATCCAGAATAACAGTGGTAAAACTTTCTATCAGCAACCATATAATGCTTATCGTCATACTCGGTAAAACTCTTTATGAGTTTGTTGCGCTCCTTAAGCCATTTGGAATATCGTCTATATTGCCTAATATCATCACTGTACTTGCGTGTTGGAAGTGAGTATATTCTAGCAAATGTACTCATAGAGGTTGGTGTACATGCTTCGCTGTTTCCAATCCATAGCAGCATTATCGGCATTTCATTCACTCTCCCATACAGTTCATGTTCGTAAATGGCGTAATAGATGTTGTCAAGTCGGCTTGACTTTATTTCGGTAATTTGCGAGTAAGGAAACCATTTAAGTTCATGTGTAATTTCTGAGGGGAGGACTGAATCAAGTCGTCGATTGCTTGATTTTGAATATCCTTAACTAACGACATAGTGTTTTTGACAAACAGTTTTTCAAGCAATAATTTCAGAGAATCAATATTGTGTTACATCACACGGACCATCTTCGTATTACCGTAACTAAACTTTTGTTATTACTAAGTTGGCTCTCGATATAGGAAAGTGATCGGGGCCCAACAAATTCCTTTCTTATATCGAAAATCTCTTATAACGAGAATCATTTGTTATAATATTTTAAATCGGGACCAGCAGAAATACTTTCTTATATCGAAATTTTCTTATATCGAAGGGTTCTTATATCAAGAGCTTTCACTTGTATACGTTTCGTAAGAGTTAAAATAAGATGAAATGGATACAAATTTTTTATTTCATTCTACCGATGTAAACTGATAAACTTACTATCAGCGTAAACAATTGCTAGTCATCTTTCGGCAAATGCAATAGATCAACCGAAGTGAGCCTGAAAAAACAAATTCCATCCTGACAAGTTTTAGTCTCAAGCTTGCTTCGATGCATCAGTAGCTACTCTAATATCCTACACATTTGCATATTTTTAAAGAACTTTGCAAAATTATTACTCTAGTACATTTAGTTTCTCAAAATAATTTTTTGTCCATATCATGATTGAAATTACTTATCGCATATATATTTTTTATTTATAATAGATATTATCGCTGCAAGTCGAACAATTAAGTTATCGTTGAGCGCAATCAGGTAAATTTTAAAGTTAAATAATTATGAGCTAAAAGTGACGTGAAATATTGACCGTTTACGATCATCTATTTTTGAAACACAATGGAGCATCTCTAAAAATAGCGTATGTATCAAAAACGGAACCTAAATTCGACTTGCCGACTATCACTCTTGATGTATTTAAAACATATCATTTTATTTTATTGACTGTTAAGTTTACATTACTGAAATAAAAAAGAAACAATAAGAACAAAAGCTACGCGCTATTGTTGCTGTACGTACGTCATCATAAAACTCCCCGGTGGCGTTGGTAAAGTTGGTAAAGTTGGCGAAACCTCCCCGAAATAAGGTGGAAACATTGGCATAGGACTATAGAACATTAGCGGAGGTATGCCAACGGATTCTGCATAGATAGAGGAACAAGACTGCTGATCTGTCAGAAGGTTGGGACATTGTATATTCTTATAATATCCAAATGATCGCCAACGCATCTCGTTATGTTGGCGGTTGAGTTCGAGTTGAAAATTTCGATACTCTTGTGTAAGGCGTCTCTGAACTTTGATCTGACGTTCTAAAAACGGCTTGTTGTCCTATTTGTAGAAAACAATTGCTATTAGTGTAGACAAACCGCGCATCTAGAACGTACATAAACAATTATCGTGCTAAAAGTTGTATCGATTTTACCTCGTGAATTATGGCTGCCTCAGCTGATAACACATCGCTGTATTTGATAAATGCGTAAGCTGGTATTCTTTGTTTCTTGCCACGGTTGACTAAATGAAGATCTTCAATTTTTCCATGCTGGTCAAATTTTTCGTATAATATTTTTTTCGTTACAAGTTTTTCGTTCAAGTTTCCGATGTATATCGAATGTCTGTCTTCTTCCTCTTCTTCAGATAGAGGTTTCTCGAGATTTTCTACCCATTCGAGAAAATAATTGCTTGTTTGACGAAGAGTCTAAGCGAGTAGACAACTAAAATTAACTAAACCCGTGGAAGAACAGAATTCGACATTTGATGACTTACGTTAAATGCATTAATAGCATCGTCCCTATAACAAAATTTAACAAAACCGCCTCCCTTTTTACGACCCGTAACAAAATTTTTTGGTACATTGATTTCTTCGAGTGGACCGAATGGCTCGAATATGCTCCTAATCTCCTCTTCAACGCGATTCGGATGCAACCTTGTTATAAAAAGGGTCCTATTTACTCGGGCTTTCTCCACCCTAATTCGTCGATTTTCGATCCATGAGCCATGAGCTTCTTTTAAGGCAACATCTGCATCATTGACATTCTATTGCGTTAGCCGGAAGTAAGGGTTGGGGGGGGAAGATACAGTCAGTTTGTACTATAATTATATAGCTATCCGTAGTAATAGTTAGTTACATTACCTCATATTGTACAAACGAGTAAGGACGATTTGCCCAATCCCTGAGAACTTTAACACAAAGAAGTTGGCCCCATTGCGAGAAATGCTTACCCACGATTTGTTGAAGATGTTCTTTAGATTTCGTGGCATCCAAACTTAATAGATAACAAAATATTTTACAAGTTGACGTAAAAATTAAGCGAGAAAGGGGGCGACTGCGCTTATAATAAATTCCATCATACCTTGCAACAAACAAGCATCCTGCAGGTAACGCTCGCTTCTCGCCGCTATACGTGCATTCAGCAAGCTCTTGTTGTTTATTGATAGAAGTATCAATATCATCGGTGATACACTCGTTTGTCTGCACTCGAATAAATGCGGTTAGTATAATAATCACGATGTTATCAGCGAATACAGTATCAATAGATAGTATTTATGGCGGTGAAGCCCAACTTGATAGAATAGGCTCTGATCAGTTCAAATCATTAGTATTATTACCTTGCCCATTAGAACAAGTATTTTGCCTTTCTTTTCGTTTGAAAAAAAGAACAAACTTTACTGTGCAGTTTACACATTGGCATATTTACATGGATACTCACATGACATTCCGGAAATACACGAAATCCTGTGTTAACAATACACCACGTGCAATTTACAAATGCGTGTATATAATATAAACAATATAAAATATTGTAAAGCTCACATGTCAAGACAACGACTCGTTCTCTCGTTGGGAGGTATTGGCGTTTGTATGTATGAAAGAGTTATGATGTAAATTTGTTATGCTTTTATTGGTGTTCTTTATAGATTACACAACAGATACGTACGGAGTAATGTACCTTGATATTCCTCTGATAACATTGATAGTACGTATTGGCGGTTTATAAGTACAGTTGACTTTACGTTATATCGGTATTGAATATGGTTATATTAACTCTTTCCATCATCCACTTTAACTTTTATAACTTTATAGACATATAATTAGTCTATATAAAGTAAAGAAAAGGTCATATATCTTTAAATCCGCAGCACTGTCATGTTGACAGAACACTACTGCGCAGCGCATTCAAGTTGTACAATAAAATAATGGTTTATTGTTATGCTTAATTTTACATACGTGTCCTAAATTTTTTGTGCTCCCTACATTCCTTATTTGTCTAGATCCTAACCAGATACAGTATTATCTTGCAAAAAAAAAAAAAGTACACTGTACTCCAAGTAAATGTAGTGATCAGTGACAGTCAACGTTTGCATTACAAAGACTTTATCACTATCGTCGCTCACTCCAGCGAAGGAAGATCACAGAAACAAGACAAAAAGATATGGTAAGGCAAATATATAGTTTTCGCGAAGGATTTACTGCTTTATTAATGCATGTTATCCTAACTTTTTTTTAAAAATTACGCATCTCTCAAAAACGGTTGCTGTAATAAACAAAGTGGTCTTGATCTTTTCAACTACCCGATATTGTGATATTATAGTTAATACTAGATCTCAAACTAAGTATAATCAAGCGGTCGAGTCAAACACTGCTAAGACGTTCAGCTAGCACAATTTACAATGAGGACTACCGAATGGCACCATCGAGAACTACAAGAATGTCACCATCAAGTTATTATTGATAATGCGGTTGCCTAAACATAATTGAAATTTAGCAATGTCGGGCACGAGAGCGAACAGAAAATGTTCAACGGAAAACAAAGCAAACCTGATGATGTTATGATTGAATCAACATTACTTTTCGAATTTCAGATAAAATATAATTATGCAGACCAAGAAATCGAGACTGGATTAATGGCAACAGGCACATATAACGTATACAAACAATTGACACCAACTTACATGAGAATAACGACATGACCGAAAAAATACCGTAATCAAAGGAATGGTATATCATTCTACTCTTCGACGGTGAAGAAAATCCTAGCTTGGCAATACACTTTGACAATACACTCGCCTGACAAAATCTTTGTCTGATTCACCAGAAACCGTATGAAACATTATTTTTTCGAAAATTTCTATTGTTTGCACATAGTAAGAAACAATGATTTGGTATGGTTTGATGCGCTTCCCAAAAAAAGTAATGATCGATTGAAATACATCGTTGCTATAAAACTTTAGTTTGAGGTATAGTTGCATAATGTATAATCATACATGTAACTAGTTTATCGGACTACAATTTCATAGCAATAGATTATTGCGATTTATCGTTACTTTCGGCTTCAAAACAAGAACTTACTGTATAGTACATACGGTGAAGATGTCCATGTGCTCAACAAATTTCCTGGACATAATAGCTTGTCGGCTATGAAAAGCAATCAAACTTTTATAAGACGGTCGTTCCGTAATTGCCGAGTTTTTGCAGTAATCGGTTTGAGTTGGGTCAACATACCAACATCGACTCTTGAATCAGAAGAATCTGAGACTCGATCATATAGATGGCCGAAAATGGTATGTATCAACGTATAGATTCCTACACATTGATATTTACTAATTCAGGGATTCCTGTTCTTATACAATCCAATATTAGGAATGAGCTACATTGCTCGATTTCTCTGTCATATGTCGAATAAGAAGTTATGTTTATCCGAATTGTACCGTTCATTTAAACCTGGATTTATTGCTTGCATAGGTTTGCGATTTAGAAGCTTGTGATTCATCGATTCACTGCGCAATCGCTTCAGTTCTTTGAGTGTGAAGTTCCGCATTTGGTAAACAAGAATTATCTATTGAAATACTGTAGATGCAATAGAGAGTTTCCTACGTTTACGTATTATGGAGTGTTACGTTGTATAGGACTCTCTATAGCAATAACACTCGATGTACAGTAATTACAATATGCATCTTGAATGTCATGACAAATATATTCATATACGCAATAGCACATAAAAAGCATTATACATGATAATGTAGTCAATGATTATTGTTATCGACACATATCTATCTATTTGACTTCTCATAACCCTTCGACTAATCAACAATATCATTCAGATATGATACATACGTATAATCATGGAATTAAGCAATATGATACGCATACATCATTATGAGTCTTGGTAAACACTAATCTGAATTAAAGTCTCAACGCACACGAACCTTAATTGAATAATTAAATAACATAAGAAATGGTTGGCTATCGATTGGATAGAAGAAACGGCAAGACAATACGACGAATTAGAAACTTTATTAATTGTTACTAGAAATCGATAATTCCTTCGCTGCTAATTTACAATAATATTGACTTACTGTTGCTGCAAGTTGGAAAGCACACTAACAAATTACTTTCTATTTAGGGCGAGATTTATTGTAACGTTAATAAACAAGAGCCGGGATTCTAATGGCCGAGAAACTGACTTGCCGCATTTAACAAAGCCCTGTCTATTACTAGTATAGGTGTGATTAAGCTCACTACTACCTTATCGTTATAGCGCTAATTTTCTCAGGTGATTTAAAATGTAGTATATTAAGACCACCTGAATCCGTTTAAATAGTCCTGCTAACGAAGAAAGGAGAGAAATCATCTGATATACTTTCTTAATCGGGTATATTAAAAAAAATCCAATTTCTTCAGCCGCTCCTTGAATGAGTATATTTCCTTGATACGTAGATGATGTATTTCTATTTGAATATGCATCACTTGACAATACCAATTACATACCTTCGTATGTAGTTATTGTATCTGCTGACTTGATCTGATCTCTGATCTATATGCATATACACCAAATCTGCCGAACAAGGACATCCTTATGTTCACGAGAATGTAACTGGAGTAGGAAGAGATGAGTAGTCGAATATATCGACAGGCAGATAAACTAGACATTATACACGTATCTGTAATCAATTCCTATTAATCAAGAACTGATGTATGTGGTCTAGGAGTTGGAGTGAAAGTAGACATTCAAAAATCTGTTGACATATGTGAAGAAGCAACAGAACAAAGATAAAGCAAGGTGTATATCTTTTGTAAGAATGGGTAGAAGATTGAGTTGTATGGGTATTAAAAATATGCTTAGTGTAAGTGATGAGCACAATCGTACATAATGTGTAGTTAAAATTAATAATATAGCAGCCATCGTTATTAAGGTGTTGAAGTGTGCTATTCATGTATCAGTAATCATAATTAAATATCAAAAATTCATATTAAATAAAAGGCTAGAATCAGCAGTGAAAAACATGCTCATTCAAGGAAAAATCGGAACTTTTCTAATAAACGGATCGAAGTAACATCGCCCTTCTTAATTGTACTACTTCGATTAAGGAATTATATCAGTTGTTTGATATGTTATAGTTTCTCTCCTTGTTCGGATGTTGCTATCGGCAGGGTATCGCTGAAAGGATGTTGTTTTTTTTAAAGAATTCTGACGGGATTAAGCTCTAAACCCGAAGCGGAGTATACCTAACGTAAGTAGTATTAATATAGTAGTTCATCTTAATACTAGATTTGCAACCCAACATATAGTCTGGCGATGAATATATATACCGTATACGTAACCGCCTCTGACGCCTTAATTTAAGCGGGCACGTTAGAAAGACCGTGTTTTGAGCCAAATTGAGAATAGTCCCCTGGTCAATAATGCGACCCATATAGCAACAACTTACTCTGACATAAAAGGCGTTTAATGCAGAGAACGTATCTCACCTTATAAAAATATCGGATATTCTACGCACTTCCATGTGCTACCTTCTGGAAGCATCAAACTATTTTCGACTAGTAATGTATTCACAGACGATCTACTAAACCTCTTTTGTAAAGCTTGGGTGTTGTATTATAGGTTAGGAAATAGCAGTTTGACATACGCTCGAGTTACGGTGTGACAAGTTTTTTACGGAAGCCTTTTGTTATTTCGTTCCTCTGATCCTCCGTCGCTGCAGCATCTGTGCTGCTGAGATCTATTAACTGAAACTACTTCTGATTTCCAGTTTACTATACGCTAAGTCAAACTGATTAGCGGGAATTTTCATCGGTCTTTTATTATCTTAAATAGAACTTATTACATATTGGTAAACTTCATTGGTCTTGTTTATCTACTGCTCTAACAATAAGTATCAATATCCGTCCCCGTGCCATTATGGCAGGGAATACGAGCGATGTGCGTGGTCCATCGAAATGGTCGAAGGAATGGAGGTACTCACGCATAAATTCTCTTCACGACCTGCAAACTATATCAAATGTTGGAAAATAACAAGTGACATATACGTACATAAATATATAATTAAATGTATTCATGTAGCATACCGATGCAGATCGTGAAGATGCATAAAAAAACGACGTGCCATCAAGGCACGGAAATGCGATACGGTAGTATCGAAGCGCCAACGATCGCATTATCGTTGAACGAGAATATTAAATTCTCTCCACGACCTGCGAACTATATCAAATGTTGGAAAATAAACAAGTAAGTGACATATACATACATATATATACAATATAATCAAATGCGTTCATGTAGCATACCGATGCAGATCGTGGAAAAACTCCGTGCCATCAAGGCACGGAAATACGAGTCCATCAAATGGCCCTCTTAATCTGATAATAAATATATACAGCGACATTAGACTAATAGGCGATAGTAAACTCAGCAAACATCTCATTATATTTTGACTTACATGTAAATTCTTACATATACACTCGTCTTCATAATTCTCTCCACAACTGCGACTATATCAGATATTGGAAAATAGACAAGTAAGTGACATATACATATATATTAATATATATAACTAAATGTATTCATGTAGCATACCGAAGGGGACGACTTTAACAGAGCATATTATCGTTGAACGAAAATATTTACGCGTTGACCAGACGATGGACGATTTACTTGAAGGAAGATCCTAAACAATAATGAAAGTTACAAGTTCAGGACAATTATTATGATAGTATGCAAAAGCAAAGAAAACGATAACTTTGTAAGCAAAAAGCTTTGAATGACGAAAGGTCACGGCGGTCGCCACGGTCTACATACCTTTTGGTATCGGTCAAGAAGCTGTTTTGTCTTTTTTTCTTGCTTCATTCCTTCTTCAGCGTTAAGTACTAGAATGCCGTAAATTTTTGTGGCTTTAATAAGAGTCTGCAAAAAAGACAGACCTTTTGCACATGTTTTCTGGTTAACCGACACTATTTAAGTATTGGAAATAGTTAGTTCGTCATTTCACCCCAGCTAGTAACAGTGCTAGACTTTTCAGACCCTTGCTTACTTTTTTGAAGAGAGCTAGTGTTAGCCATGGTTGACTAACTGTTGTGTTGTTGGGGTGGGGGGTTTTTACGCCCTCAATAGTGTACGACGTAAAAAAAAGAAGAAAACATCCAATCAGAATTTCCATGACTAAGAATTATTAGAGTAACCATTTTTATAGTGCTCAAAAAAGATTTAATATGTTTGGTTCGATTCGGCAAGTTGTTTCTCCGTAGTTTCTATTATTTGTCCCAATTATGCGACTGTAAACCTCATACGTCCGCGACGAAATAACATGCAACTCTTATTATTACAATGCACAATTTGAATGCAGTTTATTGTTTTGCTTGAAATAATAAGAAATAAATTGTAGTGAAATGATGGCTTTATAAACAATAATTAATAAATACAAGTGATAGTAATCGACACCCGCTATCGATTCCCCCATCTTATTCATCCAGAGGCTCTACCTCGCTGGAATAATAATCATCATCGTCATCATCATATTCTTTCTTTTCGTTATTAAACATAACCAAAGTTTTCCCTTGTTCTCTCTTGGTCTCCCTGACTTCCGATCTCTCCCCAGGTACAAAACTGACCAGCGGCTTAATATCCTTGCTTCTGAGCGCCAATGTATGCTGAGCATCATGTTTAAGATCTAATTGTAAGAGAGTGCTTCCAGGAGACGTGGGAGATATAACGTTATGTGGAGTCCGGTACGGTGATGGCGGCAGATCTAGGGTCAAAAGAGGCCCATTTCCCGAATGAGTAGTGAACCCAGTTTGAGAGCGCGATTGATTATGTGTAGAAGGAAGATCAATTGAGAGCAGCGGACCGTTAGGTTGTCGTTCGGATCGTGGGCGGTTTGGGGATAGGCTTTCAGTAGACTTTTTCTTTTGGGCCAACAATGATCCTTTCGAGAACGTCCGTTCTTCATGGATATTAAGGAACGTGCCATTGTGAGTTGGAGCATTGTCCGGACGGGCCTTATCGAGTAATGAACCTTTATGGAAATGAACGCCATTATCGAGTTGAACTAATGTCGTGCCATTCCCTGCTCTTTCTCGCTCTTTCCATCGCTCTTCTCTTCGTTCTTTTTCTTTCTGTTCATGTATAACGTCACTCGAAGCCAGGAGGGATCCTTTGGCCCAAGAGAGTTCTTCTTGTTCTACTTGCTTCAAGGGAGGGTTCTTTTCGTCGTATGATAGTAATGAACCTGGTTTAAATACTGACGCGTCAACATTTCCATTGTTTGCTTCTAGTTTCTTATTACTATCATCGCCTACGGCAGGCGGCGTTGATGCAGTATTGTCGGAAAAGTCAAATTTCCGACTAGATTTACCAGGCTGGTATCTAACTGCACGACGAAGCGTAGCCCATTGGTCTGATGCTGAGGTGGTTATGCCTTCACCATTTGTTTGAAAGCCTTCGTTATTCCCTTTTGTCAATCCCACTGACTTGTCCGTTTGCGGAGATATGACGGTAGGCGATAATATGTCTTCTTTTGCCATGCATGCTTGGAACAATTCCGGTCTTTCTTCCAGTAATAATTGTGCCTATTTGACAATATAGCGCAAATGTGAGAAACCAATGTTGATACATTATATACACTTTCGAGTACATATTGAATGTGACATACCTTTGCATTTCGTATACTTAATACCCAATCTTTCATCTTCTCCAAACGCTCCGCACAAAGAAAGTGTACATAGTCTTGGTCTGGGCTTTCAAACATTGTTATTTTATCTTGGGATTTTAAAGCAAATGCAAACTTTGTTGGTGCCCTCTTGAGTGGTTTCGTTAGAGTATACACATCAAACGATGCGATAGTACAGAGGAAAGTCTCGTTTACTCCCTAAATAAATGTGTGGTCAAAAGTCAATGGCTTGCCATATTAAAAAAAAGTCTCCGCAAGCATCTACATGTAAAATGGATCAACGTATATTTGCCTTTCCACTCGCAGAATATTATATTTACCTTTGAGTCTTTAGCATGATATATCGCTCCGTCTCGAAGATAAACGTATCGTTTCTCCCATTTGTTCTTTTTCAATTTAAGGTGAAGCCATCCAAACAGTGGAGGTACGCCGTTGTTCATGCCCTACGAATTTAAATCATATCTCAATACATTTCTCTTTTCAGGCTCGTTAAATCCATAAAATTGACTGCAGTTGGGATAAAAATTTCATACCTCAACGGTCAACGTATGTCTATAAGCATACGTCTTACATACTAGTGCGTTAGTGGTGCGAGCAGGGTCCCATGTATTGATTACATTGGTTACTATTTCCCAATCTCTCAATGGTCGTTCTAGCCCAAGATCATTCACCAATTCAAACAGCGTCCATTCATCGCTGTCTGGAACAGCTTGCTTTCGTTTTAAATATTTGAGAACCGAAAGTGCGTTCATCTTTGAAGTTAATGCAAGAGTCTTGAACTGACGGACATCACCAATGTAAATTCTTGTCGTAATCTGGTAAATCAAATCATGTTAGCAAATAGATAGTTCTTTACATAAAAGAATATTGTGGTTTGAATTACAAATCTTACCTTGATTTCTTTATCAGCCTGTGTTTCAGACTTTTTCTCCCTACGTGTTTTGCTTCGTTCTACCACCTTGTCTTTATTTTCTCCATTCTTATTCCTCTCCAGAACCTTATCCCTCTCTTTCTCAAAATCAATATCAGCAATTTCTCCGCCTGGTGTTCGAGATTTGCCATTGACACGGGATTGAGACTTGGATCGACTACGCTCAGCGTTGGTTGAGCGATCAGAGCGATCATTAGAGCGACCTCTGTCATCCTCACGCGTACGAGAACGAGATTGATTGAGTGGACGGGTAGGCTTTGGTGAAGTGTTTCGAACACTCGACCTAGATCGTCCACGATTCCCTTGATCGCGATTGACAGAACGAGACCTCGATGCCGCCGTGTCATCGGTTGGATGATGGCGGTCGCTTCTATCGACTGGGCGTTCGCTTCTATCGCTTGGCCGTCCCCGCGTTGGAGATGAACGACGTCCAGAAAGTTGTCTTGGGTCGTTTTCTGAAGTGATAGAACGTCTTTCTGTAGATCTTCCTTGACCCCGATATTTATTGATGTGGTCTCGTGTTTCCAATTCACGACCCCGTGTGCTTAGATTGGACGAATCTCTGTCATGAGTAGGATCACGAGATTTAGACCGTCCGTTGGTGTAGTTTTCAGCAACTCGTCCACGTGGAACAGATCGGCGCGAATCCACTTCTTGTTCACGAGTTCGATTTTGTTCTTTTTCATTATCCAAGTGAGATTTTGGCAGTGCAGGAGTTGGAGGGAGAGGATCTTTTGATAGTCTTGGTGCTCCTTGTACTTTGACCCTACTTCCCAACCCCCGAGCAGTAGTCCCTTTTCTTGTGATTTTTGCACCAGTTGGAGTTGTAAGAGCCGGGTTCGAGGAATTATTTGGACTAGGTGTAGGCGACGCTACTCGTTTTGGCGAAGAATGTTTATGTCCATTTGTTGCACTTCGTTTTATTCTGTTTGTATCCACTGCATCGTCTGAAACGGGTTTTGGCTTTTGTTTTCGAGATAACGATAGTGGGTTGAAATCGCTGCTACCGCTATCGTCACTATCAGTCTCTGTTTCGCTATCATCAGATGAGTCAGAATCGCTTTCGCTTTCACTTTCACTTTCACTGTCATTCCAAAGAGTGGTAATGGAACGAGCACCTAACCTCGGAGATGAAGTTAATGATATAGATGGACTTTCCGCTGGTGATGTCGGGCTGAGACCGGTCAAGGCCATTATATTAGGAACCAAAGCATCAGGAGATGTATTGTCTGTATTTTTGCCAATATTACGGAAGAGATGGTTATCGCCATTTGGAGATACTGGAGAGGAAGTTGATGTGGTTGATGCTGATATAGGTGAGGAGGCTGAAGACTGTCCGGGGCTTGATACAGAGGATGAAAAAATTGTCTGGAGAGCTGGCAGACGAGGAGGAGATGACTTTTGTCCAATATCAGTGTTTGAGGAGGATACGTTGAATTGCATTTGTGAAGATGGATTGGTAGAGGCATTCGTTGGACGTTTGTTGAGACTCGAGTTTAACTTGATCAGTTCTTCTTGCATTAATTCTATTGAAGCAAGACTAAAGCCAAAGAGATTGTCAGTGTGATATTCTTTGTCTGGGGAAGTTCCCGATGAGTCTGTGGAACTAGCGCTAGAGTTGGTCGTTGTTGATTGTGAATATTGACTTTCTTGAGAGTCTCGATCCTTATTAGATGAATATTCTTTTATATGCTCGTTACTGGCACTCCGTTCAAGATCCTATTAAATACGTATTTGAAAATGTTTCAAAGTTGAAACATGAATATAATTAATTATATAATGTCCAATACGAATGCAACGATAGACAAGGCTATTTAATTTTCATACCGCAGTGAGTTCCTCCACTTCCAGTTGCAATTCACCGAGTATTTTATCTAAATCTGTCATCTTATCAATGCTATATATTAACTAATGGAGCAAGTTTTGTCAGCACATTCGACCAAGAAATGCCAAATGCCCGATGCCAGGCCACTTACTGTGTCACTCACCTTTGTCTATGTACTTGTTATGAGGGAATAGTCTATGCAAACTGATAATTACAATCTATATCGTCAAGATATATGTGCTTCAATGGTGCGTATTTTCTTTTTCTTTACTGAAATGCCAAACAGTTGGTTATTGAAAAAGTTTTTAGGAAGAAGAAGAAGAAGAAGAAAGAGACGGTCGCAACATTATCAAATAACTTTGAATATTACCAAAACAATTCTCGACGAATGCATTCAACATAAATATATGCTGAATTTTTTTTTTAAATGATACCCGAAGTATATATTGTCTAATGGCTTTTTACAAAATGGGATGAAATAAATATGGCGAAAAGGTAAGTTTGAGGGGGTTTTATATAATGTATATATATAATATATTTATAGTTGAAAAGTGCATGTACAAAAGTGCGTTTATTGGGATATGATCAACAGAATATTTGAATTACTACAAGAGCCGTGCAATTAATCCGCATACAAAGGCTTGCTTACAACTTGTCACGAATTCATTCAAAATCAACTGGAGCAAGTCTATCAGACAGCATGAAAATGCCTGGCTAAGCTAAGACAAACAGACTACAAAGATCGTCTGTGTACAATCAAGTAATATTTGGCATTCAAATCAAATGGATTGTTGCATGTTACAGAAATTGCACACATTCCTTGTAGGAAACGAATATTTTTGATTGTCCCCTAAAAGCGGAATTATGAATTCATGCAAAAAGGTGACTGTCGGGTGAAACTGAATATCACCGAATATCACCGAACATCATAAATTACGTAAGACATGTCTACCTATGACCGAGGTGGCGCAGTCGACATGCCGAGAGAATGCACTTGTCTTTGGCCGCAGCTTAGCAATCTGTACTTTTATTTTTAATCTCGATCCGGCAAGAGCTGGTGGTACCAAAACGTTTACAGTTTGGGAAGACAAACAATAGACAATGTCGTGATACTAATCTAAAGGGGCAATAAATATAACATCAAACAATAGTCAAGAAGATACATAAATATCATTGTCTGGTAGGCGGAAAGCTTGATCCTTTTGTTCTCTTTTTTCTTGCATAGCCACACCGCTACTCGGCCCAAACCACCACGCTTGCCTATTTCTCAGTGACCATAATGTCTATTGCAGGATTCTCGGGACAATGCCGATTTGAGTTCAAAATTTCTAATCCGTTGGAAATCACAGAGCCTCTATTTACATCATCATTTGTAACTTCCTCCGGACATTATTGGGAACTTATCTTTGAGCCGGTAAGAAACCTGATATTGCATTATCAGTGCGAATAAGATTGCAAATATCCCACTTCCATTGTGTCACATGTTCGCTGTTGCCTACACCAGATATCGCAAAAGGATCCAGAGTATTGTGGTTTATACCTGCGAGCCATATTAAATGCTGAAGAACAAGTTTCGACAGCATCATGGAAGAAGCGTGAAAACATTACAATCAGAATATTCATTAGAGATGTTGATGGGAGCAGAAGGTACATGTTTATATTAGTACAGTACAATGTCGATATTCTATCGCTTATCCCATCTTCAATATACTTACAATGTACTCTATTAATTCTATTAATGCTATCAGTGGCAGTCGAATACTATTCCAAAGTACCCTCTTTCCTGACTTTTTATCCCTCAGATCGTTAGCCAGAGGAATTATTTCCACAACTTCTACATCAGATTCGTTAGACCCACTCGATTCACCAACCAGTCCTACTTTCCTATCGCCTACAATCAATTCGCACCTTCTCCCATGTTTCTCAACACCGTCCGCACCAGTAGGCAATCCCTACGCATTCAAGCGAAGCGAATTACCGTCTACTATCATCATTGGTGCATTTTTCACGGAGGATACCCTGACTACAGACACAGTTATCCTTGGAAGACCTACCGTACCTTACCATTTGTTGAAAGCATGGATAGCAGAATTAGATAACAAGGAAGTTGGAGACGTACAATTCAGCATTAAAGGCCGACAAATATATGCGAGGAGTGCCATATTGAAGAAGCGGTCGAAATATTTTGAGCAAGCACTTTCGAGCGAGTGGGCTGAAAAACAGTCCATTAACGATAAAGCGAATCCGAACATAAAACATTTCTTTGAAATAACCGATTTTGATGCTGAAACTTTTTTACAAATGTTGAAGTTTTTGTAAGTATTTGAGAACATTACATTGTCTCTGATTGAATCAACAGTCTTTCTAACAGCAACTTTATTATGTATTGATTCCAGATACACAGATCAAACACCGTTTGAAGATTCGTCCACTCCATTGGAAACGGCACTCTCGATGCTAACGATTGCAGACAAGTATCTGATCACTGAGCTCAGACAAAGATCGAAAGAGGCCCTGATTCAGCAGATCGATGATGAGAACGCTTATGATGTGCTATTTTCGTATGGATGGCAGTGGTCAGACGTTAAAGAGGAACTCATGGCGTATGTTATAAGCCATTTCGATGTCGTTCGAATGACAACTGGGTTCAAGAAAATTTCCATGTCGCCAGGCGATTATCCCTTGTATACAGAACTTTTTATCGAGATAATGCAATCGCTCAATTTGACTGGTTAGGTAGACCCGATTATCTATCACATTGATAGCACTCTGCCTTGCGTAGTCTGACCGAGTGTTTAGAATTTCAGTGTATTTATTGTTACTTTTTTATAAATAAAAATGTACAAAAGTCTTCCTTTTCCATCATTAAATTCAGAAGAATATTCAATTGTAATACCTTGCAAATATCAAACTCCGGAAATAATGAGCTCCTGTATATCGCTTATTGTCACTTTCGGTGATCGACTTCTATATACATACGACCATTTGTCTAAAAAGAATCCGTGTGCCCAACACTTGGAACCGCACATTGTAAGACATAGTTAAAATAAAGCTTCTATTGATCACAAATTGTTGAGAGATTCAACATCTCGGTTTCACCTAATCCGACATTGTCACAACAATTAATTACTTCTCTTATTTGGCATGTGTTAATTTAGAGTACAAACTTAAAATCAACAAAGCCAAATTAATTAAAATGAGGGTACTTAAAGTCAACAGTTGTATTTGTCCAAGAACAATCGAAAAGAGTTCAATTTAAGCAAGCAAGGGATCAATAGTGATAGGCCATTTAAAGCTTGCTTTGCAAATTTTTATAGCACATAATGGGTTTACTTCTGAGGATCATTACACTTGCATAATTATTTATATAAGTTGAATAGATTTACCTAGTATTCTTAGTTGTATTCTTAGTCTTCCCCTTTATTCTCATTGATACAACGTTCTATATTTATACATTACCTCCGTATTTTCTTAATAATTTAAAACAAACTTTTTCTTGTGGTACCCGCTGTACATGAAACATATATAGTATCATAGCAATATGTCTATAATAGCTAATTTTTTTCGTATGTAAAACGCTGGGAATTTATTTACAATAATCAATTTTCTACTGACGGGTAATATCACCTATGCTATCTAATGTTCCGTTTTCTAGCATAATGTCACAAGTTTGTTTGACTTAACGTATTCTCTACATCATCAATACTATAATTCAATCGCCAATCCACATACTATAGGAACATTACCTGTACGAGATTCTTTACGGAACGAGCTAATTCTCATCGAGAAGATGCTGCAGTCTAAATTGAGAGATTACCAAAAACATAGTTAAATTCAGTCATATAAATTGATAAGGAAAAATATAATGCCAAAATTAAAAATAGTAATACACAGTCAGTCGGCACCTCTGATCGAGACGACCGAGTTATCGAGACTCACATGATAAAAGATATTTAATTAAACAATTTTATTATTTACATAAAATATTCCTATAGACATGGCTTGTCTTAGAGAATCGACATGTTCATTTCTTTAATCGTATGATCTCCTGACTTGTTATTTCTTTAATCGTATAATTTAATGACATATTTACTGCTTTAAATCGTATGACATGACATTGCTCTAATCGTATGACATGATCGTATGATTAATGACCTGATGCTGCTCTAATCTATGGCATGTTTCAATGACGTATTGTATGATTGTAATGCCTTGGTTGTTGATTCTAACGGGTTCGATTTAATAACATGTTATTTTACTGGATAATTATTACCGTACGATTTGTGATCAACCAGTTAAAATCGTGTTACGTATTATAAATATCACGTGGACCGGCTTACAGGTTTATCGAGACTGACTGTGTACCGAAGACGATATTATTTGAATAGAATTTTACTTTGAAAGCTTGTTTCCTGCCAAGAAATGTTGACAAGCTACGTATGCAGTTAGACCGTCAGCGAAGCGAGTGGCCACAAAGACAAACCAACAAGGTAGCAAACAGTTTGGTTTATAGCGTATTCAATCTCGCGAATTCCTTAATGGTAAGTAAACACGCAAATTGCGAATGCCATTCAATTCCAAAACCCGTTAATTTATGTGACAAGATCAAATATACGCTCGCCTATTTTAAAAAATACATCAATGCGGAGGTGATTTCCAAAGATGTGTTTGTTGGCTATATAAGGAGTGGTTTGTGAAAACCGAGATATACAGCGCTAACTTCGTCTGGTTTGGTTGACATATGGTTGACGATCGTTTCTAGTTTTGTTTTTAAAAAATCTAAACGTCTTATTTCGGAAATCGGTGAGTGACGATAATTTATATCACCATGTGGTCTGCATGTGGTATGCATGCGGTAAGACATTTAATATTTGTGACTCGTAAATCGCCATCATATATTAACCTCAACTTTGATAAAACTTGGAAGGCTCACTCGTTAATATTTGTTGCGATGATGTCCTATATTAAATGTTCTATGTCTAGGTCCAGGATACTATTTACTCTTGCTCTTTCATTTCTTATCTGTGTTCGCCTTATGAATTAACTCCAATTTTATTATTCCTTTTTGGTCATGTTTTCATGAGGGTTTGTCTTCAAATGTATTTATTGCCATATTCTCTGAATGCTTCGAACCAAAGCTCTTTTTTTCAAAACTAAGTGCCTGTTTCCCACATGCTTGTCGTTTATAAACCCAAGGAATTTTCGTTTTTGGTTAATTGATCGGTTCGATCAGTTAGACATATATTAGTTGGCCAAGGCAACAATTCTCTGTTGGTTATTCTTCAAGAACAAAAGATCGTTTCTTCTAATTAGGCATTCTTAAGACGTTATGCATATCGTAGTGTTATGCTCTATTACTATAACGTACATTTTAGATTTACGTGGAATTATTATATGTTACGATTTTCTATATGCTCTTCTACTGACTAACAAAGCAAACAACAAATGCGTATGCAAAAACAGTGTCGCCGTACAATCTTCTATAATTCAACGTATAAATCCAGGAAACACCGTATCACATGATTTCATCTTGCACTTGCACGAGGTCTATTTCAATAATTTAATTTCATATATGGGAGGGATATTATCATCCCGGAAACTGCAATAGTGCGATCGTCGATAGCAATTCATTTCCGGCTGCTGTAGCTACTGAAATATTGCTCATCAGAACTGATAATTATAATTAGCCGGTTCCTGTAGAAACTCGTTATTGTGCTGATCTTTCCCAGTATCTCGTCTACTACCAACCCACCTTCTATATTCGATGAAACCAATTGTTAACGTTTAATCGGTTAACATTCTCCCATATCATCGTATTAAATCACTGAGTTTGTAACGCTTGATGCTAGCTTTTCACTGAATCTCACAGGTTGAGATTGGATTTACAATAATTGACATTGCAAGGAATTGGAGCACCCATATTCTACAGTCGCTGATTTTATCTAGACCATAATTATATGCGTCTCTCAAAGTAGTAAACTTTCTTTTGACAGTATTACTAGAGCGCGATGCCATTTGTGATAATCGTTTGCGTTAGTATATTGATCCAAGACGCAAAAATGCAATCAATCTATATTACCACATTAGCAGGCATTGCTGAGCAATGAACAGCGGATGCTGACAAGAACTTTGATGATCATTCACATGCTTGTTATTCGGAGAATGGAGTTGGTGGATTGTAACGCGTACAAAATTGTGCAATGCATTAATATGGGACTGCAAAGATTTGGCCGGGCAGCAAATAATTATATAGCGCCATAAAATATCCTTGTGCTCGAAGAGTTCTAAAATAACAAACACGCGTCAAATTCCATAACTTATTTTTCGATCACTATCGTTTAATAAATTTATTGAATAATATTTTTTTTTCGTACATTCTTCAATTAAACAAAACTTCCGCGTGTCAGTTATCTGCCGCCAAAGAAACCCAGAGGGTATTGGCCGCCCGGTGGGTTTCCTTGCGGATATGGATTTGGCGTCGGTGGATATGGATTTGGCGGCGGCGGATATGGATTTGCCTGTGGATAAGCATTTGGCGCCGGTGGATAAGGAGTTGCCGGTGGAGGATATGCATTCGCCTGTGGGTATGGAGTTGCCTGTGGATAAGGATTTGCCGGTGGCGGATATGGTGGAGCTGCCGGCGGCGCATATGGATCTGCCGATGGTGGTGGTGGCGGATATGGATGAGACGGGTTCGCTTGCTGTGTTGGCGATGTTGAATGCGTTGGCAGTGTTGAATGAGTTGGTAGTGTTGAATGAGTTGGCAGTGTTGAATGAGCTGACGGTGTTGGGGCAGCTCGTGGAGCTGCATCCATATGTATTTTTTTCGTTTGTGGAGCCTCACCCAAAGAATCTTTCTTGATTTCTTCAGGAGTTAAGCGCCAATTGAAATAACGAAAATTGCTGTATGGCAAAACAGTCATTTAACAACATGCAATTTAGATCCATTGTATCATTGTGCGTCAACATTAACATTAACAAGGTGTACCTGATTTCGCCATTAAACGAATCCCAAGAATAAGCACGTCCAACGTGCAGCGGCCCTTCATTGAAAATAACTTGCTCTGTCCGAATATTGGTGATAGCAAGAAATGCACGCCATTCGCCATTAACATAGACGTCCATCCTCTTTTCGGTATCAGAGAGTGAATAAGCTACATGGTACCATTTGCTTAACAAAAGCCCGCCTTCGACCGCCTCAACTCCTGCATTGTTATACCAGTTGCCAGTGAAACGAGCATGCAGGTGGGATGTGTTTGCTGATAGCCAAATTGCGGGAGTACGGTCGTAATCTCCAGTACCTAAATTCACATTTAGTTACTAAAGACCGAGGAAGCGTGAATCAGGCAAGCCGGCAATAAACTTACCTTTGTGAAAAATAGTACCCCAATTATTAGTATGAGACTTGAGTTTTATTCGGAAAGTTACTGTAAGTGCATCGCTTACTGTAGGTAACTGGGAGTTCTGGAATATGCGCTGTTCACCACCGGACAAATGAATGGGATCCTTAATGAGCTCAATCCAGTCTTTCGCCATTTCTGAAAGATGACAATAGCGAAGATGAAATAAAGCGCAGGAAAGGATATTAATATTAATATATTAAATCACATGATCCGTGATCCCGCAGGTTAGTAATTGCCAAGGGGCCCTTGTTTACTATCTTTAAGACGGCGCACTATCCAATAGTAAAATTGCCAAAGACGAATTTCTTTCACTTTAACAAAGTACGTTTGTACTGAATATTCGATTCAGGGTTACAAAGAAGCTTTTTTTTTTTGTTAACCCTTTTACAGCAACCGAGTGGAATGTAATTAAGAATAATCACAAATTGGGATCTGTGCGCTGACACACAGAATTGTCAATCAGATTGTGTAAAATTTTGTTGCGCCAGAATCTATGTGCCAGAATCAACTCAGAATTACCGAATTTGTTAATGCTACACATAAATTTGCATATGCAGTCAACTGCCTATAATAATAATTCGACCTTTAATTCGATTTATACATTAATTCGAACTGTTTTACAAAACAGTTTTTGACATTTATTATTATTTCTATTGTAATTAACTGACGATAATTCGACTTTTACGTTAATTCGATCGAACGCAAGCGGTCGAATTATAGGCAGTTGACTGTATAGAACTCATGGTTTTTGGCGTTTGTATAACCTATAACCGTCACTTCACTGACAGGTCGACAGTCATTATTTAACGCGTGTTTGTACCCAGTGAGAAATAGTCTTAGAAATTACAATACTTTTGCGAAATTCAATCCATAGTCCTAATTTTAGAGCATAGTTAGCGAAATGATGAAAATTTATATAAGCAGCTGTAGTTTCGCTAGCTAACAGCATCAATAAATCCTTCAAACCCGGAAACTGGCTTGCCACACTAAAGTATGCAACTAAATACTTTCATCGGAACTGCAGAGAAACTTCTTTTTGCTTGCTTATCCACATGCTTCTTCTAGCAGGTTCCCAAACCATTAACTACTACGATGGCAGTTGAAGTTCTTGAAGACTGCAGTTCGGAATTCAGTGGATTTGTCACATACTCAAAGGATGACTGAAACCACTATCAGATTCACTATTCAAGACTTATCCACAGCTTACCAGTAACTGATTCATTGCGAGAACTGAGCTCGAATGTCTTTCTGCGAGCTTTGGCGGAAGAACTCCAGACATTGGATACGAAGAATAAAGCTATACCAGACATAATAAAAATATCAATCGTGTCGAATTACATGCGTGAGGTGTGATGCTGCTGTTGTCCGCATTTAAACGGGCTCTATTGATTCCTTGCCGAAGATTACATCCTACTTTAACGTATTAATAATACTATTTGCACAATTCACTCTTGATAAATGTCATGAGAATTTCCAAGTACAAGTGACTCTCAATGTAAGAACCCCGATATAAGTAATATGGCCTATAAAAAATTTTTTTGCTGGACCCAATTTAACTTCTCAAGGAATATGTCGGGCCCGACTACTTTCTCGCATCGAAAGCCACTTGTAATAAGTTGGCATGCTTTTTGTTGCTTTATTATTATGGAAATTAAGAGGCTATATCGCACGACAATAGAAAGTTGATTCACCGTCCACTGTATTTGGCATTTTCGAAATTCGGCATCGGTAATATCTGCTTAAATGTAGCTATGATTCTTTTGATATGCCTTCACCATGCTCGCCTTGTTACAACGATATGATCACAAAATTTTTTTAAACGGCCTGTTTTGATAGCACACATACTCTATTTTGACCGGGATTGATAATGACTCCACTTGTATCACATCGCACAAGCGTAATAAACAAACGACGGTTACTAGTGTTGAGAAGTCATATCTTTGTATTAGTATGGACCATGAGTATTCATCATCAGAAGACAGCTGGGTAGGTTTTGGTTATACATCTAATACTAACAAGCTTTTTTCAAGATAATTTTTCCGCATTGGAATAAATTAAACAACTCTTACAATACTCACTATAAAATACAACTCACTCGAATATCAATATTACTAGGAGATTGGACAACCATCATCTTCAGGTACCAAAAACAAAGGGAAAGGAAAGCAGCATGGAGATGCAGAGGTTAAAGATGTCACTGAAATAAACCTCATTACTTTTGAAAGTGACAGTGATTCTGAAGATTGTGAACAATCATTTCCCTTAAATCTGAGCAGCATTGAATTGAATGAGCAATTAACAACCAACTTAGAATCAATTGTCAACAACAACGACAGAACGGGTCATTTCATTAAATTATACAACCTGTTCTATTATTTGGCACTTTATTAGATGATGATCAATTAGTAAATGCCTTGAAAATCATAGCAAGTGGAGTTGAATATGATTACTATAAAATGACTACTGGTATGGAGTTGGAACTGCATTTTAGGATATTTGCATTACTTTTAGAAATATATGGCAGACGACCTCTTAAAATGGCAAAGAAATTTTATGAAACTCTGTATGAGAATCTAGTACAACTACATGATATTCACCAGTTTTGTATCAAAGCATTGGGAAATGGCTTACAACCTACATGTGGCTTATTGGATAATTTGGAGGAAGATGTTAAAGTTCAAAATTACAATATTGATTTTTTACTTATGCATCTTTATGATACTCTTCATATGATAAATGATGATAAAACTGCTTGGCTTGAAATTATAAATCAGTTAAATGCTCTATTTTCTGTGCTTGTCAAGGCTTTACCTAGTATGGCTGGTATTATGACAACTGGGGAAACTCCAATTGATAACAAAGATACTGTTGAAGTTTATAACAAGATTCACAAGACCTTACAATCCAAGTTTTCTGTGGGACATTGGTACAAGGAATGGAGATATCTATATAGTATATATCAAGCATTTGTTGAATGGTCAGCTGTTCCAATTAATAAGAATCTAGTTGTTAAAGGAGAATTAATGCTTATTAAGGATCTTTGGAGGTTTGGAGACCAAGAATGGCATAAAGCAATTTCTGTTTCAGCACAATCAGAAATAAATGGCTATAATAATAAATTCAAACTAAAGATCATCCCAGATTATATCTCAGAATCAGTTCCATACTCTTTATTGTTTGGCATACTGGATATTGCTCAAAATCTTATAATCTCTACAAAAAATGTTAGTACCTTGGCTCATTGTTACTATCTTGCAAAACTATCCCTGGACATAGTAAGAGCAGAGTTTATTCAATTTAAAGCAATGGAAGTTCTGATAACACTTTACAGAAAAGATGCAATTACATTTTCTGTTGTGCAAGTTGATCTAGATCAACATGCAGAAAGTTTTTCAATCTTGGACCAAGATAGAACATGGTTTCAAGACATAAGAGAATACATTGATAAAAAATATGCATATATTAATATTAATCAGACAGGCAGCAGAGCAAATATTGAAATGTCAGTCTCAAAACAGAAGGCAAAAAAGCAATATTGGACACCTGAAAAACTTCTTAATTTAAATCCAAATGATGATTTATTAATTTTAGACATGGTTGCTGATCATCTTACATGCCCATTTATACAAAAAGTTACAGAAGATTTTAGAATACTTCCATGCAAGCACAAAATCAGTTGTCTGGCATTAGAAAAATTCATGAGGATGAACTGTCTTGAACTGAAATGCTTCTATTGTAGAAGAAAGTGCCAATTAGATAAAACTGAAAAATTACCAAGCTCACCAATTTACAAAGCATTGTATGAAAAATTTGTCAGAGCTGGACATATTTTACCAAAAGACAAAGCAAAAGATTTTACAACTATTGTGGCAAGTCAGGATGACAATGATGATGTTGAGGAAGCTTCTATTATGAAATCAAAGTTCTTATATTTGCTTCAAATGAAACCAAAGCAAACTAACCTACAAATAATGAAGTTACCAATAAGTCTACATAGTACATACAAGCAAGGCAAGAAAGCTCTTGATGAAAAAAGATATGATGATGCAGTATTATGGCTTGAAAGAGCACTTGCTCATTATCCCAACAATGCAGCTATTCAAATTGACCTTGCTATTGATATGGAAAATTTAAACTATCAAAAATGTTATAATTACATAACTCAAGCCATAAAAAATGACCCTAACAATGCCAGAGCATGGGCACAACGTGGAAAATATTATATGCAGCAATCAGAGTACAAACAAGCTCTTAAAGATCTTAAACAATCATTAAAGATTGATACAAGTAATGCACTTGCATTAGAGGTCAGGGGTAATATATCTACTACATTTTTAACCAATATGAAATGGCATTGAATGATTTCAATCAACTATTAGAGATTGAACCAAATGATACAAACACACTGATTGCAAGGGGAGCTGTCTATTTTAGTATGCAGATGCATTAGAAGACCTCAATAAATTGTTACAAATTAAACCAACTGATACAATAGCACAATATCTAAGAGGGCATGTTTATCTCATGCTTGAGCAATATGACCATGCATTGATTGATCTTGATGAATCACTGGGAATGGATCCAAGCAATATGTTTATCTTAAT